AGCCTAGTACCCAAATCCAACTTTATTCTTATCTCTCAGCCCTCTAAACTTTTTTCATTTGGGGGTACTCTTGCCCTGTGCTGGAAAAGAGCTGTAGCAAGCCTGTGACTTTTCAGCTCATTCTTAGTTGATAGTCTTGTGCTCATTTTAAGATACAAACACAAATCCAAGTGATTAGAATGTTTAATCCTATGCAACAATAAATAATCTGCACCTGCTGTAGCTTTACCTATTTTCCCTTCCCAACTCTGTTCCACTTAAGTCCAAGAGCTTGCTATGGGAAAGGGCAAAATAATCTCTGCTCTTTTCCACCTAATAGCTGCTGATTGCTTTGGGCCCAAGTGCAGAGAAGTCAGGCAATAAAACAGTTCTTGATTGACTGGTGGTTCTGTGCCCTATGGACTAGGCAGGTATTTAAACGGGGCATATCACTGTCCCCTTGACCCTGGTGATGCAGCTTTATTTTGGGGGGTCTCCTGCAACTTCCTCCTCAGTCCACCTGGTACACTCCTAGCTTCTTTGTGTTGAGGTCTCCTTGCCTCTTCCAATGGTCCTATTGGACGGGACCCAAGACCACCATACATCCCTCTCTCCTGCAAGGCATGTAGGATACACTCATACATCAGGTGCCCCGGCAAATTCGGGGAATGCAGGCCAATGCAGAAGCAGCAGCACTCCTCTGGCTCCACACCGAAGCAGTCAGTGAGCCTCTGCTAGCCTTCTACATTTCCAGGGCAGGAGTCAGACTCCAGGCTCATCATTTCTTGGCTGTAGGATTAAATACTTCAGGCGTCCCAAATGGTCCCAGTGGAATCCCCAATTAGATTTGGGGTAAAAGGGCAGAAAACAGCCTGCCCCTCAAGAAGTGGGTGGGTTCTGACAGTCCAGGTGTACTCTGTCTCACAGTAACAAGCTCTCCAGAAAGCAATCTTACACTGGTCTCCTCCCATCCTATCCTCTTTCTGACCTTGTACCTTATGTGTGCATTAATACTACTAGCAATCATGCTGTACTTTCCTAATTCATTCATTCCCTCTTAGAACAATATTCATGTTCTCCTCCCCTCAAAACTCCAACCCCCTCCCCCTACTCTCATTCTCAACTCAAAGTCTACTTCCTGCTTCACTGAGAAAAATCAAAGCAACCAGAAAAAACTTCTCAAGCCCTATCCTGACCTTCTGAACCAGAAACTGGGGGAGGGTTTAGCAATCTGCATTATAACAAGCCTTCCAGATAATTCTACTGCACTCTAAAGTTTGAGAACTACTGCCTTTCCCAACGGGGCAGACCCTCCCATTCTCATTTGCCTCTTACTACTCTTGCCACTCCTTCCCTCTGTTCTCAAAGTGTCCCTTAAACTGGTCTCATTGTTCTTTAAACAGCTGACATACTGCTATTTCTTAAAGAAACATATATTGTTCTCTCTTCATTCTAGAATCTCAACATTAGACACTGAAATCCAGGCAAGGACTTGAACAAAAGCTTGTCCTGAAGTTGACGATGGAGCAGGGGGGACCCAGGTCAGGCTCAGGGAGTGCTGCTTTCATAATCAGGGTGATTGATGGGCCACTATTGGGGGCTGGGCTGAGTGAGAGTGAACCTGGGGTCTGAGTCAGACCCAGAGAGATATTTACTCAGGTGGCCGGTGCCAGAATAGGCCAAGGGAGAAGTATAAGAGGGGAAAGCAAAAGAGGGAGGAGGGCAGGCTCCAGCTGTTGTTGAGCATGCCAAGAAAACAGGGAAGATTAGTCAAGATCTAGGAATATAAGTAACGGGAGTGCTGCTTTCATAATCAGGGTGATTGATGGGCCACTATTGGGGGCTGGGCTGAGTGAGAGTGAACCTGGGGTCTGAGTCAGACCCAGAGAGATATCTACTCAGGTGGCCAATGCCAGAATAGGCCAAGGGAGAAGTATAAGGGGGGAAAGCAAAAGAGGGAGGAGGGCAGACTCCAGCTGTTCTGTTGAGCATGCCAAGAAAACAGGGAAGATTAGTCAAGATCTAGGAATATAAGTAACATTTGGGGAAGAACATGGATATGGAGCTATAAAAGGTGATGTGCCCTACAGTGAGATGCCCTACTACCACACACATCCCTTGGACACTGTGGCTTACCTCCCATTATTCCAGGAGGCTCCTGGCCATGGAGCTGCCACAATACTCTCTCCCCAGTAATCCCTGGTGAGTCCTGACAAACTGGAGAGGACTGTCAGGGTATTTTATCTTAGCTGCCCGGCAGCCAGCTCCACTCCCAAATGAGTCTCTAATAGGCTGTGTGAACCCTCAGCACTTTTGAAACTTATGCCATTATTCTCTCATTCCCTTTGTCTGCAGATCTCCTGGATCAGTTTCCTCCTTCAAGAGGTTGGCACCTGTTCCATGCCAACTTCTACCACCATCCGAGACAACTGCAAAGTCCATACAGACAACAGCCCACCCCCCACACCAATACCTGAGCCCTCAGTCCATTAACCAATCTTCAGGCAACCTCCCTTGAATGTCTCTCAGGCACTCACCACTGTTGCTGCACTCTGCCATCACCTGGAGCTGATCTGCTTCCAATAATTATAATTTAAGTATTCCAATTTCTGACCACAGCCTCCCATCCTCCCAGGTCACTTGTTCAGTTACTACCAGGGTAACCTACTCCTGTTTTCACTCTCCTACCTGTCCTACAAAATCCCATGGCCCAGTATAGCAATCACTTACTTGCAAATAGTCTGAAACTCCTTTGCTCACTTTCCTTTAATTTCTTTTGCACGGCAAGGTTCCAACTCTGGATGATCTTAGTGCTCAGTTTCTACAGCTACACCTAGATTCCTGAGTAGGCAGACAGCCACACCATTGGCCTGACAGGTATAACTATAAATTCATGAATAATACCTATACTAGTATATGTTCAAAAAGGCCCTCAACATTACTCAGCAGTCCTTATCCCACCACAATCTGATTTCTCATCTTAATAGACTTCTCAACAGCAATTGACAGCTGACAACCTTCCCATTCCTTCCATAATAAAAAAAAAAAATCCACTCTCTTGCCCTGGGCAATGTAACTCGTTGGTTGAATCTAGTCCCATGCACCAACAGGTTGTCAGGCACATACCCGGGTTAGTTGTGGGCTTTGATCCCTGGTAGGGGGTGTGCAGAAGGCAACTAATCAATATTTCTCTCTCCATCAATGTTTCTATCTCTCCTTCTCCCTTCCTCTCCCTAAAATCAATTTTAAAAAGCATATTAAAAACAACCCACTCTCCTGGTTTTACTCCTCCATCTCTAGCCCAACCTTTTCATCTTGCCACTCTTACTGGTTCATTTCTAGTTACCCATCCACTAAATGCTCCTCAGTTCTATTCTGAGCCATTTTCTCTTCTCATTATCTTACTCTGGATACCTTACCTATTCCTAAGACTTTAATTCTTACCTCTGGGCTGCCGATTCCCAAATCCCTAGCACAGATCTCTCCTGAGACTTTTGTTTTTGTTTGTTAATCCTCACCTGAGGATATTTTTTCCATTGGTCTTCAGAGAGTGGGAGGGAGGGAGGTAGAGAGAAACAGTGAGGAGAGAGAGACACATCAACTGGTTGCCTCCTACAGCTACAGCCCAGGTACATGCCCTTGACTGGGAATCAAACTCAAGACCCTTTCGTGCACTTGGGCCAACACTCCAAACACTGAGCAACACCAGCTAGGGCTCTCCTGAGATTTTTAAGTCCTGCTTCCAAATGAACATCAGAGGTACTTAAAACCCAACATTTTGAATGGCATCGCCAACTCACCCAGTTGTACAAGCCAGAAGACAGCCCAGATACATGCCCTTGACTGGGAATCAAACTCAAGACCCTTTCGTGCACTTGGGCCAACACTCCAAACACTGAGCAACACCAGCTAGGGCTCTCCTGAGATTTTTATGTCCTGCTTCCAAATGAACATCAGAGGTACTTAAAACCCAACATTTTGAATGGCATCGCCAACTCACCCAGTTGTACAAGCCAGAAACCAGACTCACTTCAGATTCCTCTCTCATCAACCCTTAATATTTACCAATCCTATCTACTGAATTTCTCCCATTTGCCCACTTCTTCCATCATCACAATGGCCTTATCTTGTGCCCCAAATGGGGGTTCCTGCAACACTCCTGCTCCCATCAACCCCACTCAACTGGACCCTGTCATTCAAGTGACAAGCTCTGGGAATACCAAGATCAATGTAACTTGAAAAGACTGCACACACACAGCAATCACAATGCAACATTTAAACGCCGAAGCTGCACTCTTCAGGTAGTACTTTGAGTGCAGCTAAGACACTCATTCTGCTTTGGGTGTGATGGACTAAAAAGCATGTAGGTTGTTTGGAGGCAGGAGTAAGACTTTGCCAGTCAACCAAGTATTCAGCAGAGAGAAGAGCACATGCATGGCTCTGTGCAGTATTTGCCGAATGGTTCAGAGCCCCGCCTCCACACATTCCCTCTGGCCAACAGCCTGCCTCAAAGCCTCCATCCCCTTCTGGAGGCATCCTACTGGCTCAGAGCCCTGAAACCTGTGTTTCTTGGAAGTAGGTATATGAGGTTGTGTGTCTATACCTGGGCTCATGGCAGATTCCTCTTAGGAGCCACCGAAGATCTATCAACCCAGTTCATCTTCTCCAGCACTAGCCTTCCTTGCCTATAGCTTTTCCTAGGACTTGCTGATCTGGACCTAGTGTTTGGCAGAAACGACAGACCCATCTGCCAACGAACAGCCCAATGCCCCTCCCCAATGTGGCATTAACTGATGGCTATTGATGAAAAGACCCAACTCCCTCACCACCACTCTCCAAGGATGGCTCAGATGCTATCAAGAATTTCTAAATATCCTATTAAATGAGCCCGTTGAAAGGCCTATACTGAGTTCTCTGAATCTTCCTCACGAAGAGGAATAGAATAAATCTATTCTTTATCCTCCAACTTCCAACCCAGTCCGGAGAAGATCTTTAGAGAATGAGGCGTACAACACACAATAAGCTACATCTGTAGTTTACTGAGCACTCCTCAGTACCCAGCCCTGGCTATAGATCTCCTCAGTTGGCCCACAACAATCCATGAGACAGGAATTCTACCATTTTCCAAATGAGGAATGTGACATTCAAAAATTAAATGACTCTCAGCCAGGCCCACCTGATTCTAAAATCTGTGCTCTCAGCCAGACACACACCAGGGGCCCACAGGACAACAACAGATGCTGGGCGTGTTTGGGTCATGTAGCCCCAAAGGTGGAGATGAGACTAGAGGGGAAAGAAGTGTTTAGTGCAGAGACAATCCAACGGTCCTGACTCAGAAACCCAGTTTGTTGTACTGAGCCAGGATGCTGATGGGCTACTTGTTGTCCAAGCCAAGAAGCAGACCAAAGGTGAAGGAGCAGCAGCTATGAGTAAGCAGAGTGAGCTGGTCTGCAGACAGAAGATCAGAAGAGAGAATGGAGACACCAGGACAGAAAGCCCATGTGGCTCCTAAGAGACAGAAAAAAAGAGTCAAACCCAGAGATGCCTTGAATTCCAAATAATCTAGTTTCCATGACACCTAGGGGATCCATAATTCCCAGATATCCCTGTGTTCTCACCATAAACTCCTTATTCTTTAGCCAGCCCGAGTGATTTTATGCTTCTTGCAACCAAGAATCCTTTAGCAGAGCGGGGCTGAACCAGGGGTTTCATCACACTTCGTTCGTGGGATAGAGGAAGGGTGGTACCAGTCCTGGGTCACAGCCTGGCTGGTTATAGTCTTCGGAGTTCTGACAATGGAGTTCAAGACTTGCCTCCCCCTTCAAGGGGGGTCCAGAGGTCACCTGCGCTTGTAGAGACATGGCTGAAGCTTCAGGCCTGAGAGTTGAGCCTTGGGCCCTACTCGAGGGGGCCCAGTCTTTTCAAAATCAAACAGGAAGAAGTGGCTGTTGGTCAGGTCCTAGGGGCAGAAAAGACCCAGTGAGCCCCAATTCCTCACCCCATTCTTTAAAAACACCTCCGTCTATGTCCCACCCTTGCTCAGAAAGCTTCCCAGGGCTCTCCCATGAGTTGTGCCTTCAAGAAGCAAATGTCTGTGCCCATGGCCTTCTTCCTGAACACCATTACCCTGAAAAGGGCCACACATGAGACAAAAACAGCGACAGACTTCTTGGGCCCTCACCTTGGAGATGATCTTGAAGCCCAGTTTGGTCACGGCTCCCAAAAAGGCCCGAACATCTTCAAAGCGGCTGCTAACTTCAGCCACTTTCAGGAGACCCCTGAGAAGAATGGGAAGTTCTGTGTAAGTGCAGACACACGCATGTGCACATGTACATGCACCTGTGTCCTGGAGGCTCTTACCCGAGCTTCAGCACTCGATTTGCCTCCTCTAGGAAGTCCCTGATGTTGGTTCCCATCAGCGAAAGGCAGAACACAGCCACATCTACAGACTCATCCTCCAGAGGCACCTGTGGGTAGTGGGGGTGGTGTATGAGGCGCACAATTTGGGGAGGAGAAGGCCAGCAGCGAGTGGTAGGTTGGACACCAGGATGGGGGTGTGGGCAGGGAGGAAGGAGGGAGTGTTAGAGATTAGCACATGCAGGCTGGGCTTAGAACACAGGCCAGACACATAGAGGGATAAAGGGGTTTACCTGGGCCATGTCACATACAGTGACCCTGGGGTCCAGAGAGGCCAAGTCAAAGCAGTGCACCGGGTTCCGGATACTTGAAGCCAGGCGGCAGTCCCCACAGCCAAAGTCAGCTACCACCAGGGACGCAGGCCTGGGAGTGGAGGGGAGGGATCACTCACTGGTCTAGTCTGAGCCCATGATCGACCAATATCGGCTTTCACAGTGCCCAACCCCATTCACCGCTGGCGAAGATCCCTGGCGATGCGGTCCACTGGCTGTAGTGGCCACTTCTTGACTTGGCTCTGGAAGCCGCGGTGGTAGAGGAGGAAGGCCTCAGGGTCTTCCTGGAAGAGGCGTTGTGCAGCACTGCTGGGCCCTGAGTACAGCTGTTCATTGAGGTAGCGAAATCGAGCACCATCCAGCCGCTGTGCCATGCGGGCTCGCAGAGCTCCTGCCCGAGCCTCGTGGTCATCTTGAGTGGGGGCAGGAGGCACCTCTGTCTCCTCTGTGGGGGCTGTGACTTTGGCTGGGTCTGGCGGCTGAGGTGGCCGAAACTTGTTCTTGTGTCTACGCTTGTTCTTCTGCCGGTTCCGCCACTGCTTGCGACTCAAGGCATGGGGAGTTTGGGGGGAAGTGGCCACAGAGCTTAGCTTGGATGGGTCACCTGTAGCACTACTCTTCCAAGCTTTGGGACCTGTCGGGGGAAGATGGAAAGGCATATTTGGGGCAAGATCCACTGAACTCAGAGGCTCGGCAAATTCATCCTGGCCAACACAGAGACTGTGGCCTGGATGAAAGTACTTCTAACTGCCCAACCTCACACCTGATGATGGGAAGTAACCCCGGTCATATGTAAGATCAGACGATCCCCCTCCCTGTCCCCCACACACATATGCATCCACTAATACCTGTTTGGTCAACACTGTCCAGGTGCTGGGCAGGGTTTGAAGGGGCCTGTTTCTGGCATTTCCCCTTTCTTTTTTCTTCTGCAGCAGAATCACTTTCAAGAGCCCTTTTACGGCACTTCTTCTTTTTTACTTCCTTTTCCTCAGAGTCACTGCCAGGTAGGCCTTGTTTTTGGTGCTGCTTCTTCCTTTTCTCCTCTACTTCAGTAGAAACACTGGCCAATGAGGCCTTTTTGGGGCGTTTCTTTTTCCTTTCCACCACTTCCTCCTCCTCAGAGTCACTGCCAGGTAGGCTGGGGAGTTGTTGGGAAAGAGATGCTGCCTCCAGGGCCCGTAGTGTGGCCAAGAGCTGTCGGCGCTTGGAGCCCTGGAGGGGAAAGAAGGGATGAAAGCAGGTTTGGCTCAGTGGGTAGAGCGTCGGCCTGTGAACTGAAGGGTCCTGGGTTCTATTCCAGTCCAGGGCACATGCCCAGGTTGCAGGCTCAATCCCCAGTAGCAGGTGTGCAGGAGGCAGACAATCAATGATTCTCTCTAATAATCATTGATGTTTCTATCTCGCTCTCCCTCTCCATTCATCTCTGAAATCAATAAACACATACATATGTAAAAAAGAAGGGATGAAAGCAGGGACGAGGAGAATGGGTGGGACCTGGGGAACGAGAAGGGAGAGATAGGGACCTGATTCAAACACTGGCAAAAGTATCTGGATTATTCCCAGTTAATGAGCTTGTCACGAAGCATGTCAGACCCCGAAGAACTTTCAAGTTGCCACTCCCACCTTTGGGAGGCTGGAAGACAGAGAAACCACCCATCCCACTCTCTTCAATGTTCAGAGGAGGTACTGGGGTTCCCCAGAGGAATGTGGTAAAGCCACAAGCAACAGGACCAAGGCCAGAGACCAGGAATTCCAACCCTCCGTCTCAGGTGTTTGCCTCCAGCTGATAAAAGGTAGAAGGTTTCTGACAAGAGCGACACCTGTTTAAAACGACTCTAGCCGCAGTATAGAGGACTGAAGGAGACAAGCGGCAGACAGGGGGACCAGTAGACAGGATTATAGCAATGAGTTGCGGGAATGAAGAGGAGGCATAAAGCAAACAGATTCTATGCTGGAAGCTCACAGAGAGTAGGAAGCGCCTGAAAAGTACTGCTGCCTTCACATCAGCAGAAGCTTAAAGGAGAAGGTCTATTGTCTGGGGGGCCTTCGGGATCGAAGTCCCACCGGGCAGTCTCAGCCCAGGCACTTAACTGGGAGGTGCTTAGTAGCCCCGCCACACCACCTTTGTACAGACAACCCTTCCTTCACTGTCATTCCCTCGCCCTCGCTCAAGTCCAGTCTCCACACTGCAATTCTGAAGGAATCCTTGCCCTATAAAACCGCTCCATGGGCTTCTATCCTTAAAATATGCAAAACCACTAAATTACCTCTCCGACTTCAATGGCTTCCCCTCGCATTCTCTGTGCTCCAAGGACACGGATTATTTCTGTGTGTGTGACCCTCATAGGACATGCATGGTCTCTTGACCCAGGACCTTTGCACGTGCTTTCCTGTCCAAGAAACCCTCTTTGCTTCACTCAGTTCTGCTTAGCAACTCTCAGTTCCGACGTCATTTTCTTGTGGAAGATCTCAGACCTTCGATCTCAGTCGGCCACACACACACACTCACACTCACTCACACTCACACTCGCGGAGTGCGCGCGCGGCGTGGCCAGCGCTGAGATCCACGAGAATCCGCTTCAGGGCCTCAAACAGCTCCGGGGACATGCGGGGCCACTCACCTTGATTGGACAGGCTGCCGCCGGCCGAGGCCGCGAGGGTACAGGCCGGAGGCCCGCGGCCAATGAGGCCTCCTCGGCC